TACACACTCTGAAACACACACACAGTCTTAACTGGTGTTAAATTCATGAATTGAAGCAAAAATCAAACCAAATATTCTGTTTCACTTTATTAAATTGGATTTGCTGAGTTTCTTCATTTCTTATCATTATAATATTGAATATCTGTGAGTTTAAGACACTTTATAGATCAAACAATAATCTATAATGAATTTAGTTCTACAAGGTTAAATATTATATTAAGATTGAATATTGTTTTTATTAAGCACTTTACAGTAATCAATAGAAGTAAATTCATTCTGTGTCGTCAGTCTGGCTGATTTATAATATCTGAGTTAAGCAATAATGATAAATGATCTCCTAATTATGAAATATATTACGAGATATGATACCATATTGTAATAAAATGTGTCTTTTGAGAGAAGAAATACGTGATTGAGTCCATTTAAAAAGACATGCTGTCCTAAATTGTCCAGAAAACCTTGAAAATGATTAAACAGATGACATCTATCCTCTCTCTGTTCCCCTCCCATCCATGACGAGCTGTCCTATCAAATAAAACCAAAAAACACTTCACAACGTTGCAAAACTGAGGAAATTTCAAATTCTTTTGTTTCCATCAACCTTTTCTAATGCGACGCTTCAAAATGAGGATAAAAATCTGAGGATTGAAACGCGACAGCTGGCTGTGAAGCATCGCCTGTCGACCGCTCACACACGTTTGATTATAGTTGTTGGAGTTTTCTGAATGTGTGTGAGATTTCCCAGAGGAGCCGGTTACTGAAGTGGAAATCTGTTTCCAACAAAGACGAACAGGTGCGAGCAGATGAGTGAAGAACAGGATGGATTCACAGTTCAGGAAGTAACCTGTTTGTTTGTTTGTTTGTTTGTTTGTTTGTTTGTGCAGGTGGTGATGCGTCCAGAGCAGACAGTTGAAGAGGGACAGCAGGTCGGTTACTGAGTGTTTGCATGTCAACTGGGGTCAACCCTGAAAGTTGAAATGTAATAATATTGTGTATGTGGGAAGTATGGAAGCCCATTTACACCAATATGAAGGAACAAAATGATTCTTTAAGTCATTAAAATGAGAAACTTTCTTAACCTTCTCTTATGTCAGCGGCCCGGATGCTTAGAATCTCGTCTATTTATTAATTAATCCTGGAATCCGTAATAATCCAACAAAAACAGTCCTGTTTCATTGCCAAAGGTCCAATATATCCACAGTAAGATTTATTGTCCATCTACAACAGCTGTTTCTTAGAGTGTTATCTTTTAAAGAGACCAAAACCATGCATATACTGCAAAGAACAGCTTTTAATTTACGTTTTTATATCATTTTAAATACATGGTAGGTTAAAATAAAGACTTTTTCTTCATATTTCATAGTTCTAATAAAGGTGTCTCATTATATGGAGATACTAAGTCAAAATACTGAGATTATGTTGAGAAAGTTTCTCATTATAATGACTTAAAGAATCCTTTTTTACCGTCATATTGGCAGAAAGAACCTGTAACTCCTGGGTTTATTTCTCATCCTGGGTCAGAGTTCATGCTTTAAACTGTTGTGTGTTTTTTTAAGGTGGCCGAGGATCTGATGGAGAAGCTCGGTGTTTCAAAGGAGAGTCTGGTGACGGGAGCGTACATGGATCTTTTACTGAAGGGACACAAAGAGACGTAAAACAAACGCACCTCTGGAGACCGACCAGAGCCGAATATAGTGAAACATAACAGACCAAACTGTTCCGGAGTAGAAAACACACAAACCTTAACACTGACCGTACCATGTAACCACAGTATTATGTAGTAATCAGATTACAGTAATCAGAGTACTGATTGTTATAGGATCTGATGTTTGTATTTAGTTTCTGTGAAATATTTCACTGGTTGAATGTGATGGATGATTATGAAAGTCTTTTTCTAAATAAATGAACTCAAACACAGCCGGTTTACCTCTGCTTTCTTTATCTTTTTATTACATTTATAAACTAAATTCCAGGTGTCATGGAAAACCTGGGAATTTAGTGATTTGTTCTCCAGTTGTGGAAACGCCTGGAAATTTATTAAAATGACAAAATATCTTGGAAATGAACTATGTTGTCCTGGAAAAGTTTAACTGTATTTTTAGCCCCTCACTCATTATATAAACCTGAGTGTAAGTTTTCATTTCAGCTTCAGTGTCAGGAGTTGTTCACACCACTTACAGCGAACTTTAGGCATCAAATCTATTTTGGAAATGCTGCCGGCGGTCACATCTACAGCCTGCAGCCTGATATTAAAGCTGCAGTTGGTAACTTATAAAAAAATAACATTTGGTGAAACTGTATCCTGACAGTAGAACAGGAGACAGATAATGTGAGGAAGAATCAGCTTCCTCTGACTCCTCCTCGGGCTCCTGATGAAAGAAACCACCGGCCCGAACACAAACAATGATTGTTGTTGGCTCCTGATTGGTTGTTTTTGTGGATTCTGTCAGGATAAAGTGAAAGTTTCAGCAAATATGACAAAAAGTTATTTTTCCAAAAGTTACCTGCTGCAGCTTTAATGTTAAAATTGTTGCTGTAAATACTTTGTACTTCTTCTTCTAACTGCTAATAGGTTAGGAGATGAATTTTCTGTAACATAAAATCAATTCTACTTGGTTTGACCTGTTATTGTTGATCCGCTGTCCTGTATCGTTAAGAAACTCCTGAACAATAATTTCTTAAAATAGGTTTGAGAACTCTGAATAAACTTATATTTAAACCAATTTTCTTCCCCAGTCCCGGAGCAGCTGAAACAACAAGACAAACAGCTGCTATTGTTCAGGTTGGCTCACTGGAAAGGTCATCGGTAACACCTGTGTTTACCTTTACCCTACTGTTTCATGTCAAAATGGCTGCTGTGAAAAAGGCCTGTTCCGTGTCGATCAGACGTTCCTTTGGGACTCGTAACGACATCGCTTTGCACGCTGCAGAGCTCCGACACCTGAACGCACCTCGGATACACACATTTAACAGGTTATAATCCCCAGCAGGTGGGTGGTTGCTATGGTAACTAGGCTGTCAGGTTATCAGCCTGAAATTAAAATGTAAATCCCAAAATACAGATTTTCAGCTCGGTGGGGAAACTTTGATCCGACGGCGCTGAAAAATCCCCAAAGTGGAGAAACAGGTTTGTGGAGGTTGTTTAAGGTGGATTGATTATCTCCATTATGGATCAATCTGCTGATTAGTTTCTCCATTAACTCATTCGTGGACACAGTGGAGCACTTAGAGCACAATCTGAGCCGAGCACACGTCCATTTAACTTTATTAAATCGGTCACATTATGAGGCTGCAGTTGGTTTTATTAACATTTTAAAATGATTTCAGATTCTCAACTTCTGATAAACATTGTGGATGGTTACAAAATAGATTCAGAAAGAAACATTACTTGCTTTTTTTTTTTTCTTCTTTTCCAACATTTTACAGACATTTTATAATATATTCTTATGGGATAAGATAGAATAACTGTGGAAGATTATAACCAGTAAAACAAAAACAAAAATAAGATGATAATGTGGCTTTGATAATAAAAATATCCTCATCATTATTCATAGTTATGACTTTTTATCTTATGATTTCAACTTTTTGTCTTATAATTTTAACTTTGTATCTAAATTTTGACTTTTTTATCCTATAATTTAAATATTTAATCCTATAATTTAGACTTTATCACCTAATTCTGAGTTTTCATCTAGTTTTTTTATTTTGCTGGCAGGAATTGGATTCCATAGCTACCTCGAGTGACTAAATCTAGTATGATACAGGAAGGGCTGCATGTCAGTTTAATTCAGTGCAAACCTGATATTTATTGTTCAATTTAAAGAGATAATGAACTTTGTCTAAACATGAGATTAAAATGTTTATATTCTCATGTGAAGCCTTATGTCTTCACAGTTTTCACAACTATTTTTCTCTCCACTTATACCAGAAAAACATTTCTCCTTAGCATAATAACTACAGTCGTTAGTCTTAATAATAAAGCTCAAAGTGAAACCTTCACAATGCCAACAGTCCAAACCACAAAATATTAAAATCATTCAAAGCAAATCTTCAAACATTTGAGAAAGGAACCATGAAATGTTTTTACATGAAAAATGTTGATTATCTAAACGAACTGTTTACCTGCAGGCTGTGGATGGAAACACTGACTGGAGCTCAGGGTCCTGGTCTTTACTCTGGTTACAGATCAGCTGATTGTTATTTTCAGAAACCAAATGTGAGAGAATAAGAACCAGGAGGAGTTCAGGCTCTTTCAGTCCAGCAGAGGGCGCTGTAACGCTGCACCTACCGGCTGTTTGTATCAGTGTATTTTATTCCAAACAACACTCTGATTTAAGTTTCCTCCAAACAAAAAAGAGCTTTAAAGGCTCTAAATATTAATTTGAAATGTTTTCGTATCTGACTTTAGTTAAAACTGTCTGTCCATACATTCATTCTTGCATTTTGTGCTGATAATCCAGGTTATACGTAATGATATTATTAGTAATTATTGTTATCTACAGCTGAAAGTACAACAATGAGACATAAATGTGACATAGATTTATGCTAAACTGTTGAATGATGGACAACAAACCAAACCTGATGTCTGCAGCTGCACACTGACAGTAACAGTTACTACGGATGCACCATAATTGGGACAGATTCATTTTTATATAATGGGAAATGTATATTATTTTAAATTATTGGGATTAATTAAATTAAAGCTATTTTTAATTCTTTAATTCTAGGCTTTATGTTCTATGATGGTTTATTTTAATTAACTTTACTGGAAACAAGACTCACTACATCTGAGCCTTTCTCACCCTCAGGGGTGTAAAAACTACAGATTATAAACTTCCCTTTAAAATACATATTGGTTATTTTATCGGTGTCGGCTGAAAAATAAAACCCATATTGTTCCTCCCTATCAGTTACACACAGATGAACATACAAACACATTGTTCCTGATAAACAAATAAACAACTCTGATCACCCGGGCTGATTTTCATTGATATCGTTCATACTGTAGCAGGTTGTGACCATGAAACCGACACCAGTAAATTGCTTTCTATGTGCTATTAAAACTCTCTTCTGTAACAATGAACAGATCGATTCAAAGAATGAAAACGTGTTAGAAATACTGTGTGTGTGTGTGTGTGTGTGTGTGTGTGCAGAGACAGACAATTGTCTAATCAGTTAGTCATTAGAAAATAAATGATTTTAGACGTATGAACTGAATTCTGAATCCCGGCAGTAACAGTCCATTAAAGCCGACACGTTCTTTTATCCTGAAATCAATAACTCAGATACAGCGTGTGAAATTAAGTGTTATTTATCTAATTTATGTTATTGGTTACACAAATAAGTCTGAGCTCTTCAGCTCACTGTGGCAGTCAGAGTGTATAAATATAGATACTGCTGTATTAGTTTATGACTGCAAACAAACACCTGCGTCACAGGTTGTCCAGTTATTTAAAGCAGCTTTTTTTCCTTAAGTGGAGCCTTTTTATATAATTTAGTAAACTGACGACCGCTGACTGACATTATAAGACATTATTGTTTCATATTATATTAAAAACTGTACTATATAAACCCAAATAGTAAACTCAGTAACTCATTAAATTAAAAAATTTATTTAGGGAATGTTTTATACAAAAAAATAATAATAATAATAATGGTCTTTTTTTTACCAGTTTTCTCGTCCCTGACATTTAACCATTGTTAGATTAGACAATTTACTTAAAGCTGCACTAGGCAACTTTTATAAAAATCATTTTTTGTCACATTTGCTGAAACTTTCACTATATCCTGACAGTAGAACATGAAACAGATAATC